GAGCTGAGGCAGGACGAATCACTTGAAACCCAGGAGGTGGGTTGCAATGACGCCGAGAATTGGGCCACTGAAACCTGCAGCCTGGGTGACAGAGTAAGACCTGTCTCAAAAAAAAAAAAAAAAAAAGTATTATAGCCATGACAGGGAATTTATCAGTAAGCAAGGTTGAACATTTGAAATCAATTACTGTTGAGGCCGAGACGGGTAGATCACAAAGGTGCAAGAAGATTTTGAGACCCGATCCTTGCCAACACGTGAAACCCCAATCTCTATGAAAAATACAAAAATTATTTTGTAATAATATGCACACACTATGGTCGGTTTGGCACCTTATAGTAACCCCAGCTACTTGGGAGGCTGAGGCAGGAAAATCCACCTGAGCCCGGGAGGTAGGCTTGCAGTGAGCCGAGATCCGGCACGCACTGGCACTCCAGCCGTGGGAGACACGAACAAGATCCGTCTCCAAAACAAAACAAGACAATTATTGTAATACACCACGTTAACAGAAGAAAGGACAAAAATTCACCACAATTATTTTCTATCAGACATTGGAAAAGCATTCTGACAAAATCTAGTGACCTTCCTTGTTCTTTTTTCATTTTTTTTGAGATGCGAGTTTTGCTCTTGTTGCCCACGGCTGGAGTGGGCAATGCGCACAAACTTAGCTCACTGCAAACTCCACTACCAGGTTCAAGCGATTCTTCCTGCCCTCAGCTTCCCAAGGTAGCTGCGAGTTACAGGCATGTGCCAACCTCCTCAACGGCTTAAATTTTTTATTTTTAAGTAGAGATGGGGTTTCACCATGTTGACCACGTGATCCCTTGAACTCCTGACCTCACCTCAGGTAATCCACCTGCCCTTGGCCTTCCGAAGTCTGGATATTACAGGCAACCTACGGCACCCTGAGCCGTGCCGACTTTTCCCTTAGTAAAACATTAAAATGAAACTAGAAAGAGCAGGAACTTCCTCACCTGAAATGGGCATCCTGCAAAAAACCAAACAGCTAACACCATACCTTAATAGTGAAAGACTGAACACCCTCAGAGAATAGGGAACAAGGATGATCTTCTCTCCCCATCTCTACTTGAATTAAAGTACTGGAGGGTCCTAGCTACGGTCCAGGAGGCAAAGGAAGAAAGTAAAACTATTTCTATCACATGATGGCATGATCTTTTTTTTTTTTTTTTTTTTTTTTTTGAGGCGAACAGTCTCGCTCTGCTCCGCCCAGGTTGGGAGTGCAATGGGCCGGATCTCAGCTCACTGCAAGCTCCGCCTCCTGGGTTCAGCCATTCCCCGGCTCAGCCTCGGGCATGATCTTATATAGGAAATACGGAAGGAATCCACTAAAAAATATTTGAACTAATAAACAGACTTAGTAATGCAACAGGATCACAAGATTAGTATACAAAAACCCGATTACATTTCTTACAACTAAGCAAAAACAGTCCAAAATTAAATTTAAAAAACAATTCCACTTAAAATAGCATCAAGTCAGGTATGGGTGGCTCACGCCCGTAATCCCAGCACTTTGGAAGGCCAAGGCGGGTGGATCACCCTGAGGTCAGGAGTTCAAGACCAGCCTGGCCGACATGGCAAAACCCCGTTCTACATAAAAATACAAAAAATTACGGGGCCGGCGTGGGCGCCTGTAGTCCCAGCTACTTGGGGGCTGGACGCCAGGAATGCATTGGACCCGGAGGCGAGCTTGCAGGTGAGCTTGAGATTCAGCTGCCACTGCCACTCCAGCTTGGGCAACAGAGCGGGACTCCCATCATGGACAGAGAACATACTTGATGTTATTTCAGTCCTTTGAAATCTATTGAGACTTATTTATTTGTTTGTTTGTTTGTTTGTTTTGAGACAGAGTCTTACTCTGTCACCCAGGCTGCAGTTCAGTGGCACAATCTCGGCTCATTGCAACCTCCACCTCCTGGGTTCAAGTGATTCTCCTGCCTCAGCCTCCCGAGTAGCTGGGATTACAGGCATGAACCACTATGCCCGGCTAATTTTTTTATTTTTAGTAGAGACGGGGGTTTCACCATATTGGCCAGGGTGGTCTTGAACTCCCGACCTCAGGTGATCCACCCGCCTCGGCCTCCAAAGTGCTGAGATGACAGGTGTGAGCCACCATGCCCGACCAGTGGTGTAGTTTTCTTATAATGTCTCTGTATTGAGTATGAGGGTAATTTTGGCGTCAGTGGATGAGTTGGGAATGTTTCCTTCTCTTCTGTTTTCTGGAAGAGTTTGTTAATTATTGGTGTTAATTCCTATTTCAGTATTGTTAGTATTCACCATTGAAGCCATCAGGGCTTGGGGTTATGTGCCTGTTGGGGGGAAAGTTTTTTAATAACAACAAGAAAAACCTCTTTGTTACACTTTTATTTAGATTTTTTTATTTCTTCTTGAATCAGTTAGTTTTGATAGTTTGTGTCTACTCGGGAATTTGTCCATTTCATCTAAGTTGTCTAATTTGTTGGCATACATTTTTACATGGTATTTCATTATTTTTTAATTTTTCCATTCCTGTTTGAAGTTGTATTGAGTCTTCTCTCTGTTTCTTGTCACTCTAGGTAAATGTTTGCCAATTTTGTTGATTTTTTCAAAGAACCAAATTTTGGTTTGTTGATTCTCTTTTTTTAATCTCTGTTTCATTTGTTTCTGCTCTAATATTTATTATTTTCCTCCTTTTGCTATCTTTGGGTTTAGTTGTTTTTCTTGTTCCTTGAGATGTAAAGTTAGGTTATTGGTTTGAGATCTTTTAAAATATGGGTATTTATAGCTATAATGTTCCCACTAAGCACTGCGTTTTCTGCATCCCATAATTTTTTGTTGTGTTTTTTTTTTCTTTTTCTGTTTTCTTTTTTTACTTTTTCTTTTTGAGATGGAGTCTTGTTGCCCAGGCTGGACTGCAATGGCGCAATCTTGGCTCACTGCAATCTCCACCTCCTGGGTTCAAGTGATTCTCCTGCCTCAGCCTCCCAAGTCGCTGGGATTACAGGCATGTGCTGCCATGCCCGGCTAATATTTTTGTTTTTGTTTTTGTTTTTGTTTTTGTTTTTTGAGATGGAGTCTTATGCCGCCCAGGCTGGAGTGCAGTGGTGCAATCTTGGCTCACTGCAACCTCCGCCCCCCAGGTTCAAGCGATTCTTCTGCCTTTGTCTCCCAAATGGCTGGAATTACAGGCATGTGCCACTATGCCTAATTTTTGTATTTTTTTTTTTTTCGTATAGACGGGGTTTTGCCATGTTAGCCAGGCTGGTCT